CATCAAGTGAATTAAGACTTTCTTTTCAGGCCTCAATTAGTACACATAATTGGAATACTCCTGTACATATAAAAAGTGCTCAAATGAAGCAAATTATCGGTTTTAAAAGGGGTTAAATTTTTGTGGGTTTTTCTTGTTATGGGGTTATCAAATAGGGGGTGTGAAAATTGGGGGTTAAATAACATGGGGTTAAGGAGTGGGACACCGAAAACTGTAACCAGTCGCCCCTGCCCCATATAGTATAAGGGGTGTAAACGGGAGAGGGGGCAAAAACGGTTGGGGAATGGGGGTGTAAAAACGGCTGCAGTAAGCGGAGTATTGCTGAAATTTTGGATTTCACGCTCTGAATCAAAGCTAAGTTAGCACTAAAATTAGCTATTTGGGTAAAAACTTAGCACTATTTCATTGATGGCGATCACTGTTTTCACAAACTTTCCGTGCTAATTAAGAATAGTAGCCTTTTTTTGCTCATTTTTCTGTCACCCTTCGTATTTTGTAAGTTTGACTATATATTAAAGCTATGATAATTATATACCTTAAAAAACTTTTGCTGCTAACTAGTTTAATTTATTTCTTTGATTATATAAGGGCGTTTTTATAAGGAGTAGAGTAAAATTTAAGCCGAGTAGCAAGTTTAAGAATTTTTTACTACTTTTTTTGAGTCATATGCAGCTTGTGAAAAAAAAATGAGCTCCGTTTTTACCCGATCGTATTTTACAAAAACTTTTGTCTTTGACATTATTTTTGGGATAAATTCTCCTCGCATGGGTAGAAACTCAGCCGAATGAACTCGGAGTCAAGACATGCACTGTTTTTTTGAACAATGAGGATTAAGAAGTTCCAAAATTTGGTGTTCGATGGCGAAAATTCATGTTTTTCGCCCTTTTTTGTGCTTGATCTTTTTTATGATTGAAAAATTTGAAGCCATGACGGCCAGAAGCGGAGTTGAGGAAGGGGATGGGGTTTGAAACTCTTTTCCACCCCACGGGGACAGAACCTCGTCGCCACCAAAAGAATTGAAAATTAGGATTTTCCGGAAAAAAAAAGTTGATAGAAATGAAAAAAAAACTAAAAAACTTTGAACAACCAAAAAATATTGCTAAAAGTTTTTTTTTTAATTTTAAAAAATTTTCAGTTTTTTGGCAGAATTTTTTCGAATTTTGAAGTTTTTTGGTTCCCAAATTAGCTTTATAAAACTACAAAAACTAGTTTTAGTTCAGTAAACTAAGTTTTCACGGCTTAAATTAATTTTAAATAAGCTTTTGTAAGCCTGCTTAACCTGATCTTATTTGCTTGAAATTAGACACAAAGATTTTAAAATTTTTTAAAATATAGTTCGAATCACGGCTGAAAGGGCTTAAAAATAATACATAACTCGATCCATTCTGGTCAGAGACGGATCTAGGATTTTTTCTTTCTCAAGGGGTGGGGGAGGAGAGGATTTTCAAAAAGAATTTGAAAATTTTGTCGACCTTTTTTTTAGGTTGACCAATTTGTTTTTCTGAGGTTTACCAAATCATTATTAAGAGCCTATTTTGACCAAATTTTCTGCGCCGCAGACGAATTTAGAAAAAAAGTTAAAATTTAGATCAAAAAATCGCTTTTTTCTACGCGCACTCCCCTCCAAAATTATTATTTTTTGACACCAAAGGCGCCTTTAGAAAAATTTAAGAGTCAGTCAGTCAAAAACGGATATCTCAAAATAGTAAAAAGGGGGACGCTTTGGTCGGAAGGGGCCCTAATCTCTGAGGGGGAGGAGGTGTCCGCCCCCCCCCCCTCCCCTCATTTCCGCTGGTGATTCTGATGATTATTTGTAATTTTGCGTGGAAAAAAAAACTAAAAGACACCTAGAGACAAGTTCCTCAACATTTTCCAAATGGTCGGAACAACGATCGTAAAATTATATTGCAGGCTTATCAGTTTTATCCACTCTCCGAGCGGTAATTGTTTCAACAGCAAAGTAGGAGATCAGTCTTTACCACAATACTTGTCAAATCGACTCTTTGGGAAGTCGAATGAGGACTGGAATGGATTTAATCGGTACTATACTCGATGTTCTCAGAATATTCTGAGAAGTACCAAGTACCTCAAAAAATCACGAGAAAAAATCCACGCCAGACGATAGTTTTTCCATTTTTTAAAAACATTCGGAACAAAAGTTTCAAGCTTTTGCTCTTGTTCGGAACAAAAAATTTCGGAACAAAAACTTCATGAGTAGAAAACTTACCTCAGAGTGTTTAAAATATTTCTGTCGAAAATTTTGATAAGTCGTTTTAAGCTTACTAAAAGCAGATCATTCAACTTTTCAGATGTGGTTCAAATTTTTGGTCAGCTTTGGAACAACTAATAAAATTGAAAAGTAGTTTGCTGGTTGAATATTTATTGAACAGTACGCGACTAGCAGAAGTAAAGTCCTAAGAAGGTTTAAAGCCAACTGGAAAGAAAGAAATTAATAAAAAAGCATTTGAAAATGTTTGGACCGCTGCTCTTTTTACTGCCGTAGTTTTTACTTTTCCAACTCCAACTGATTTAATCTTAACAATAATAGTACTTCTGAGAGGGAACACAAGAGCTGAAAAAGAAAAAATTACCGGACAGGCCGAAACAAAGTATTAGCAAAGTTTATTTTTAATAAATCTCCCTCAACTGCTTTTGTTCTCAAGGAAGATATTAAAAATTGCAATACACAATGAATAAATAGACGCTCTTTCTACTTTTAACCACCTTTTGGATTCATTTTGATTTATAACTGTTACATGCTCAATCAAAATGAAATTTTTTACTTATTAACAACAAAATCCCTCGATTTTTTCTTTCAGCAAAAGTTTCATAGTTTTCACCGCTTTTATGAAATTTCTAACAAGAGCATAAAATACTGAACTAAAAAATATATATATTTTTTGGTAAGTTAGAAAAATATATCTAAAATATAACTTACTGAAAGAAATTGCGGTAACAGCCAAGAACACAATTGCGAACAAGTTCAAAAGTTGGACCCAGATTAAGTTACAAAAAGTGAATAGCCCTGCAATTAAAGGTCTACTCCACTAGTCTTTCCCGTCCCGTCCCGTCCCGTCCGACCCACTTTAGTTCTGAAAAGACCTCGGGCCATTGTCCAATCAAAAATCTTGTTCGACTCTAAATGAATTAAGTTGCGCGCTGTGTGACTTCAAGTTGGGCCATTGTTGACGAACAACTTCAATGGAATGCCGCCCATGAAGAGGAGTTAAGTAACCATAATGAGTCCACAATTGAAGGCTAGTTTGGCTGGCTGCCCATGATTAAGAGTTCACTTTGAAATGAACTTAGATAGCCGGCAGAAATTTACAAGCTGGTTCAATATACCAAAAATTAAGACTCAACTCTTAAAAAGTTTCAAATAACATTTAGCATCGAGACACAGCTTAGTTTATCACGAAAAGGATTAGCATTGAGAGAAAAAATAAACAGGTGTACAAGGTTGCTAAGCAGATAGCACAGAATGTTCCGACCACGGTAATATGTGCAAAAAAAATTTCATTTGCTTTTTTGTGGCAAATTTCAAAATGTTTTTCAAATATTCTGCTATTTTCCCCTCACTCTGTTCACTGGTCACCCAATTTTTCCAAAAACACTGGATTTTCTGAGCAAAACTAAAAAATCCTCAAAACAAAGTTTTTGCCAATAATTTGCCCGCGGTGGAGAAATTTTTGATAAATATGGTTATTGCTGGATTTTGGCAGAGCTTGAAATTTTTTTAATGAATGACCTAAAAAAGGTCGACAAAATTTTCCACTGATTGAAATTGATTGACGCCACTGATTGAAATTAAGCTCGAAATTGAGAAAAAGAGTTGAAACCATGGGCGGATCTAGGATTTTTTGAGGGGGGCGGATTTTTGAAAAAATTTTGTAGACCTTTTTTTTAGGTCGATCAAATTGATTTTCTGAGCTCTCCCAAATCACTATAAAGACCCTAATTTGGCACAAACTTCCACTGTCTCATTTAGCCTAACTTCTGCGCCGCAGGCAAAATTATGATTGCCGCAGGCAAAATTTTGATCAGACAAGGCCAAAAAGGCGTTTTTTCGGAGCGCGGTCCCGCTCAAAAATAGTATACTTTGGCGCCACAGGCGCCTTTAGAAAAATTTTAGGGTCCGTCACCAAAAATGGAAATCTCAAAATAGTGCATAGTACTATTTTGAGATATCTATTTTAGCCTTGGGTCCGCAGGGGGTCGAATCCCTGAAAGAGGAAGCGTCCGCCCCCTAAATCCGCTGGTGGTTAAAACATAGTATAACTCGTGCCATTGAGGGAAAAAATAATCCAAAAATCATTTGAAATTCGGCCTGAAAGTCGAAAAAAAAATTCAGACAATTTTTTTCCAATATTGAATGAACTTTTTTAAATATCTTGTTAGAATCGGAATCATGACTGAAAAGGCTCCAATATGATTTAAAATTTGACAACCTACGAGCTCTCTTTGAGCTTGTAAAAACTAACTGGAAAAAATCTAACCTACGTCATAGTTCCGCCCCACTCTCTCGAATGTGATCGGAACAAATATTATGACCAAGCTCGGATCAAAGGTCTTTAAAGCGATTAAAATAATTCCACTCGAAAAATCAGCACAAGTCTGGTCAGTCAAAAATTGCTTGAAAGATATTGCTTGTAAAAGGGGCGGAATGGACGGTATTAATAAAGTTTTTGATCAAACAAAATAGCTTTCCAGCAAAAAAAAACATTAAATAAGTCTATTTTTGACTTTAATCAACGCTGCAGGATAATTTTTGAGGAAACGCCCCAAAATTAGTGTTTTTGAACACTTTTAAGATGTTTTTGGTCAAATATTTGCTTGGGTTTGGAATTAAATTACCTTTAGTTAATATAATATTTCAATTGACTCACTACTGATATAGTTAAGGATATAGGATGTAAGTTAAATAAAAAAGACCTTAGCAAACGCCAGATAGCTGGTCGAAATTCCATAAAATCTTCCTGATTTTTGGCTATTAGCCTTACCTTAGTCGACGCGTTCCAATTTTGTTTACTTTTTTTCGGACCAGGAAGGAAAACAAAATAAAGTGCAGTATTTATTGTAGCTAAAGGAAATCTCAACCCGATGAAAATGCCCAAAAAATTAACAAAAGTTCGCAAATATGGTATCTAATTACACTAACAACTTTCTAGCCTAGTATAGCAGTCTAACGATTTGACATGGATTAGCATTATAAACATGGCGAAAGTTTGATGTAAGCTAAAGGGAAGTTAGGCTAAATGAGACAGTGGAAGTTTGTGTAATTAGTTGTGACAGAGTTGAAAAGCTGCAGTAAAAGTTGAACGTGTTCAAAGCACAGGGGAGCAACTGAGCATACGGGGTTTCTAATGAAATTTGACCAATCCACCCACCCGGCTGGGCTGATAACCAGGAAGTGAGCCCCTCTAAATAGCCCAACTTTGTCCCTTTCCTTCCAATTAGTTGCCCTACTCGGTTTCATACGATTTCCAAAGGAAAAGTAAACAAACAAAAAAGCCATTTACTTATACCATAGTTTTTGTACGAGTTTAGATGAACTTTAAATTAAAAATGAAACAGATTAATTTGAATGGCTGCCACGGTATTTGAAGCCTCGTATTTGCACTGGTCAGACGTCACTAGAAGTTTATCAAACAATTTAGGGATGCCTTTAATTTTGACTATAAACCGCCCCCTCCCTATAAAAAACTAAATCAAAAATTAACTATAGCTATAGGGGGCTGGTATTGCATAAAAAAGAGGAGGTAGTTAATTATGTGCAAAATCTGCAAATAGTTAATTTTTGATTTAGTTCTTTATAAGGGTGCTTATTTTCAAATAGACCCCTTAGTTAAAGAAATTTCAATTTTCTAAAGCCTAAAAATTGTAGCTTCACCTAGCTAGCCCCTTCTACTAATATATTTATCAGCAAGATGAAATTCTCCAGTTCTCTTCGGTTTGTTGAAAGTGGAGATAGCTCAATAGAATCAAATAGTGCTGACAGGCGCGGATCTATGAACTCCTCGAGGGGGGGATTTTCAAAAAAATGTTGAAAACTTTTGTCGACCTTTTTTTTAGGTCGACCAAATTGATTTTTTGAGGTCTCCCAAATCACTATAAAGACCGTAACTTGACCAAATTTTCTGTGGCGCAGGCATAATTTTGAAAAAACATGCCAAAAAGGCGTTTTTAGGCTCTTCTTGGAAAATTTCGACCTAAAAATTGCGTTTTTTTTTCGGCGCTCGCTCCCCCATCAAAATGGGTATAGATATCTCAAAATAGTACAAAGGGGGACCCTTTGGGTCGGCAGGGGGTCAAATCCCTGAGGTAAGAGGGCGCCGAAACAACGCACCCCCCCCCCCCCCCCCCTAAATCCGGTACTGAGTGCTGAGGAGTCAGACTCTGAGATCGGTTCGAGGGGGAGGGGGGGGGGGTGGAGAGATATAACAATACAAAATCGTATAACTTCTTTTTTGGGGCAGTATAAGCTACAAGTCGAAGTTTCTCCAAAGCCCAAAAAGCTTCGGTTGTTTTAAGTATCCAATTGCAGCTTTCGGAATGTTCTTATGCGCTAATGCGACAAATAGGCAGTTATGAACAAACGTCATAACAAACTTTTTTGATGACCTTCAAAACAAGGTCGAGTAAAAAATATCTTTGGTCAAAATACAGTTGAAAATCAACTTACAGCTAGACAATTAGTCCCGTTCAGAAGTTTAAAATGAAGTTAAACTGAAAAATATGGGTGAAATAATAAATATATGAACTATCTCTTTTCCTTTTTTCTTTTCCCTGTGTTACTTTGCGGTTCTTCTTTGCCGAAATAATCAATACAATCTCCCTGAAGTTTTGTTAAATTTAGTGTTTCCAACTTGTTCTAAGAGGATGAATAAAAACATTAAAGCAGCCTTTTTTATCCCCGATTTTCGGCGGCTTCTTTGCTCGCCCGTTAGAACAGAACAACGGAAGATAAGCACTTAACTCCAAGCTCAAGTTTTATCAGTATTTTTCTACTTTCCTGTCTCCCAAAAGTAAAGCTATGGATGGCCTTTTAAACTTATTATTAGCCTCAAAACATACTAGTAACTACTTATACTTGACAGGAATCCAACATATATATTCTCAATCCTAGTTACGGATCTAAGTTAAGTTAGTAGAACACACACACCTATGGAACTAATTTACAGGTAAAACTGCTGATACGCGCGACAATTTTCCACTCGATGACCATAGTGAAAAAACAGTCTGAAAACATCACTGGTATAGTATAAAAAGTCTGAACAATTAGTGCATATTTAATCATTCCCATGCAAAATAACAATAGCCTGTCGACGTAGGGGGAGCGGTTTGGGTGGGGTTTTGATTATTTTACTTTTAAATTTGGTTGTCGTCAAGTATTTTCAAAGGGTCCTTGCATTGGTACCATTGTACGACAGTCATTTCTGACTGACTAATTCTAAAACTTGTCTAAAGGCGCCTCTGGCATTGGCACCAATATGTGCTATTCTGAAAGTGGTGCGCTTGCCAAAAAAAACACTAGCAAAACCGTCCAAAAAGTGTTCAAAACAGCATTTCAGCGTTAAATGCAAAAGTTTTGCCAAATATGGCCATGTGGCCACACTTTTTTGAAAATGAACGGCTGTCGAAGGTACCATAAAGTGTAATTTGTTAAGTAAATGCAATAATATTGGAAGCTAGTTGAAAATGTGAAACTACGATTCGAAACTAGAATTATTCATCTCTTAAGGGCTAATTCAGAAGTAAAAAGCTGCTTAACTGAGCTAAGCTGAACAGTTTAACTTAATTCACTAATCAGGGTGGATCTAGGATTTTCTCGAGAAGGGAGGGGGGAATGGCGGATTTTCAAAAAACTTTCGAAAATTTTGTCTACTTTTTTTTAGGTCGATCACCCGGGTTGACCAAAAATGCTTATCATACAATTCTCAATGGGAAATTTCTTTTCATACAATTTCGACCAAATTGATTTTCCAAAAATTAGGCCGACCAAATTGATTTTCCTAGCTCTCCAAAGCACTCAAAAGACCCTGTTTGGGCCAAATTTTCTGCGCTGGAGGCAAATTTTTGAAAAAACAGGCCAAAAAAGGCGTCCCCCCCCCCAAAAAAAGTATATATTGGCGCCTTAAGAAAATTCTTCTGGTCCGTCACCAAAAATGGATATCTCAAAATATTGCAAAGCGGTCGGCAGGGGGTCGAAATCCTAAAAAGTGCATCCCCCCAACCAACCCCCCCCCCCCCCTCTAAATCCGCCCCTGTCACTAACGCTTCTGCTTAAATTAAGCATGGGCGAATATTGTCTCTAGTAACGAATCTCATTTCTTGCTATAAATAGTGAGGGCAGGGGCGGAAGAGTTAAGGAGATCCGAAAAACGTTCTGCACCTTCCACAGAAAACAAAAACAACTCACATTCTTGGTGGCCCTGTGACGGTGCAGCAAAAAAATTATTTCCAAATTTGGGCTTTAATTGACCAGGCAGTTAGTTTTTTTTCTAATTCTCTGCTGGTTGGTTGGGTTGGTCCAAAACGTCTGGAGGTTGGGTTGGTTCTGCGGGCCAAATGTATTGATCAGGAAAAGTCACCTGCAATTTTTATGGAAGTTAGTTGGAGGATGAGATATACTTTTGCACATAAACTGGAACATAAAACTGCGGAGGGCGGAGAAGGGATAAGTCGATTTGGGCTCAAATTATCCCAAATTTCACCGATTTTTGAGCTGGTTATGAAAGAGTTAAAAAGTTATAATATACAACTACAGCAAGTAGCTCCCAGTTATCGCAGCTTACTTTAGCCAAATGTAGTTCTATGATAGTAAAAGTGATGTGGTTATGCAGGGTTTTAAGTTAGGACGATGTCGCTGCTGATTTTGGGAGGGGGTGAAATCAGACAATTTGGGGCTCGGACACAAATTGAAATGGCCCGAAGCTCACAGCTAGCGATCGGCGCGTGAATTGTGAGGGAGAATTAACTGAACAAAAATTCCAAAATGCTTACTTAGTTGAGCTGCAGAGCTGAAGAATGGAGCCAAAAAGTCACACAATTAGAATACTAAACTATCCCGCTTCCAACTATTTCTCCTGATAAATCGAAGACTTATTCCTGTTGTAACCATCTGAAATAGTTATAAACCTCTTTTTATAAATGTTTCAAACGTATCTGCGCTACATATGGGGATTTAATTTCTTCCCCAAGACCAAAACTCTTTTCATTCTTTCCTCCACTTTTTTCAACTTTAATTGTAGCCCAAGTTTATGATCTTGTTTGGGGTTGGCGCTGAAGAGAAAAGAAGAAAGAGAAAGTATTGTAAGTTAGCAGAAGTAAAACGCCCCCGGCATCAACTAACGCACAATGACATCAATCTGTACTTTTACAATACTTTGTCAACTCAATTTAGCTCAAAAATCGCTCATTAAACGTACCGAATATGATCCATTCATATCCTTGTAACTTTCCTTAAATACCTTCTCACGGCAACAACAAATGGTCCCCAATTTAGGCCGATATGCCTTTTCATTTTTCTTCATTTTCTTGAGCGACACAGCAAACATAAGCAAAAGACTTCTCTTATGAGCACGAAGCCTTAAATGTTCTTAAATGCCTTAAATGTTCTGATACTGTCCTTCAATTGCAGCAAAATTTTTTGCTTCAAGAAAAACAAAAAATATATATATTTCAAAAAAATAAAACATTTAAGAGTTAGTTTAATTTTATTTTCCAACAACCATTGGTACTATCAAGTTCGAAAAAGTAGGTATGGGTATGAGTTGCTTCGACAAGGGAACAAACTATTTTTCGCCGATTACAAGCCCTTTTCTATTGCCATTTCACGCAGGGCGGATCTAGGATTTTCTCGAAGGGGGATTTTCAAAATGTTTCGAAAATTTTGTCCATCTTTTTTTTAGGTGGACCAAAATGATTTTCCGAGCTCTAAGCTCTACGAATCATTATTAAGACCCTATTTTGACAAATTTTTCTGTGTAGCAGCCAAATTTAGAGTAAAAGGCCAAAAA